GACAGGAACAGTCAAATAACTGTCAAGTATTAGTTTTTCTTCTATAATAAGGTTATTGGAAATTAGTATTAGAATTATGATATTTTAAATATCTGCAACCAGTTATATAAACAATTTTATATAAAATATATATAATTTTGATAATATAAATAAATAATAATCATTTATATAAGGTTAGTTATATATATATAAAATGAAAACAATTAAGAATATAGTATTGTATTACAATGTAATAATGTTAAAACTGATTTGTTGTTTTAATTTGCTTGTAGGAATACAAGGTATATTGAATTTGTTGAACCATCTTTGAGTTTATAATTTATAATACAGACATAATTTGTGATTTGAGCTTTAATTTTGTTGTTTCTATAATTGTGCTATATTGTTGCTAGAACTGACCCCTGAGATGAGAGTGGTTGAATATAAAAAAATTATCAAAGTATAGTTATCTTATAATAATTTCAATTTAATAATAATAATAACATAAATTAATTCAAAGAAGTAATTTAAATTTAATTTCGATATAAAAAAGAAAATTTTTATTAAATAAATATTAAATATAAATTATGTTGCTTAGTTTGCAATTATTACAATATATCTCACTAGAAACTCAAGTATTTTCAATTTTTTTCTACAAAAGCATTAGAAACGTTAAATAAGATAATATCCACATCTAAAAAGCTACGGGTTTATCAAAATAGTGGAGACTAAAAACGCCACGTCCAGTATTACTGTGAATAAGTTCAAAACGTTATTTTTTTTAATTAGATTCGGTACCATTGCAGTAAAAGTAACCAACATAAGACAACTCACATAAGTTATGTCTTCTAGAAAATAGTTAAATTTTTGTAGATGTTATTTCGACGACATGGTTATACCCTATATTATTACAAATTTTAGGAAATCGTTGGTACACTATCAGGTACGCACAATTTTCACCAATCGCCATCTTCAGTAATGCTATTCGTCTGTACTTTTGTCATTCCCTTTTTTTTATATATAGTTATTAATATCTTCTGGAAAATATGGACCAAATATTTCAATATCTTGGATTGCTCATTCCAAAATAGTACACATGTTACTGTTCCAGATGGTTCATCTGCAACCATATTTGCAGGTGCAAAAATGAATGCAAAACAAAACTGCGATCACATCAAATTTTGCGCAGAGAAAACAATCCCATTGCCATCTACTATATCTAAAATTCTTACACATTTTTTACAGTAAAAAAAATTTGTTAAATTTTTCGTTATTTATGTAAATTTAAAAAGACGACCAGGATAAATAAAAATTATTTATAGTATTATCTATTTAATCCTTGCACATTCTTTATATAATATTACTTTTCCTTGTATTATATTATTATTAGATTTTGATATAACACATTTGGATAAGCTTTCAAACAGTTAAGCTTTAGAAGGAGGAAAATTACTCTACTGATTCAATAAAAATCATTTAACAGATCAATCAAGAACAAATTTCGATCATTATCATTTAACACTCAAGTTACTATTTTTATTGAAACATTTAGTTGATGGTCCGCAATAGTAAACGATAAACTTTTGTGGTCGTAGCAGCTCTATAAAAAGGAAAATAGACTGTTTACGCGTCCTGGGTTGATAGAAATCGATTGTTCTACGTACCCGGAACACTCCATCTACCCCTTAAAATAAATTTTACCTTGTTTTGTTTTCGAATGGATTTCCCATATTTCAACTCTAATCGAGTTTGTTATGGAAAATTACGGTTATTCTGTACGAGGTTTATGTTGTTTAAAATTTATTGGAAAACTAATATCACACGGAACTTATACTTAGTGTTAATTTGAAAAGTTTTCAGCGCAATACGTATTGAGCAATATAACACAGAATTAGATGTGGTAATTGATACGGGGTTATTTTTATAGTTCATAAAAGATTTTGAAAAAAATCGTGCCAGTTGCACAAAGTGTATACATTACGTCTGATATTATGTCGTTTTCAAAAACTATTTATGAAAATTTTTAGATATCTGCCATAATTTCAAATATATTTTGATGTAAGAACGATATACACTATTGTTTTTTAACACTGTGAAGGTATCTTTATATCATGAACTTATTAATATTTGGAAAATTCAAAATAATTTTTCACTCCCCTTTCTCCAATATGGCGTCATACATGACAGCCATATTGGATTTCCAAAATATGCCAATGTGCATTAGAAAGTGTATGACACAAGAAATATTTTGAGAAATCAAATGTCTTTGTACTCTGCTTAAATTTTCGGACAGAGGAAGCGGAGATCCTAAATATCCCCAAAAAAAAAGTTCGACGGTGATAAATCAGATGTTTTGGTGGCCAATTCTGATTACCAAAAAGGGAAGTTACACTACCAAGAAATGACTCATGCAGTAATTTAATTGTTTCTCAAGTTGTATGGCATGTGGCACCATCTTGTTCAATCTACATGTCGTCTACATCTACAGGTCTGGTCATATTTTTATTTCCAATACAAAGTTAGTAAATTATTAAATATTTCACTAGTCTCTGACTCCGCCCCCATATTATTTGTATAACTTTATGCCATCGATATAAGGGAATAAAAAACGCCATAAGAAGTGCGCAAAGACTGCGGTTCTAAGTTTTTCTTGACTATTGGTTCATTGTTTCTGTCTTTCATTAGGAATTTGGGAACAAAGTACCTCTAAGATACGTATATACGGAAGATAGAATACTGGACAATAATTATGTCTGATTTATTGCGATGGCATAAAGAGTACACGGCCTGGAATTGACAGCAGTGTTGCCATACGTACAGTACATACCCTATTTGTACAAGGTTTTGAGACCATACTAAAGCATTCCAACTATATTACAAATTATTTATAAACTTTAGTAAAATCAAAAACGGTATTCTAAAATAAAATGAGTGGTAATTCTTAAGCAATTAATTATTTTCAAATGCTTATTAAATAAAGCTTATATTAATTAATGAGATGTTCAAACAAACCACCTGCTTGAGCTTCACAATACCCTAATCTGTCATAAAATTCTTGACGAACATTTGACAAAATTTCAAGAGTAACTGATCCTCAAATATTTCTAATTTTAAGCCGTAATTCGTCCAAATTTGCGGCTCTTTCGTGTCGATGTTTGTAGAGAAGTTGTGTTAAATGATCACATAAAAAGAAGTCGCAGGGTGTCAGATCTGGAGATCGAGGAGGCCAAGGCCAATATACCTCTTGTGGAAATAAGCCTTTCAGGAAAAGTTTGTTTCAAATAATCTTGAACTGGCTTTGCGTTGTGTGCGGGGCATCCGTCTTGCTGAAACCAAATTTCCTCAAAATTTACATCCATGTTTCGTACAGCTGGTACAACACTATTTTGTAACAAATGTAAATATCTCTCAGCATTTAAGTTACCATCAATAAAAAAGGTACCCACAATATTATCGCCTAAAATACCAGCCCAAACATTTACCTTTTGAGGGTATTGCGTTCTTAATTGTATATTTAAATGCTTGTTTTCCCGGGACCAATATTGGACCACTGAAGGATTATGAGGGCCAAGTAGGGAAAAAGGTGAATCGTCTGTAAATAAAATCTGCCTAGCAAATTCATTATTTTCATCTAATTTTTCTAATGGATTCACAAAACTCCATACGCCTTATTTGATCACCAGGAATAATTTCTTGAGAAGTTTGCATTTTATAGGCTTTGTAACCATTCTTTTTTAAGACGTGACGAACTGTACGACTTGGAATGTCAAATTCTTGGAAATTTGGGAGGAAGAACACGGCTCACTTACTTCCACAAATGACATACATTAACTTCTTATTCTCTCCTTGCTTCAGGAATTTGACGAGGCTCCTGATTGCTACATTTTGTACACCGATTAACACATCTACATTCCTCAAACTTATGAAAAATATTCAAAACAGTTCTAGCAGTGGGAACTGGTTTGTCGGGGTATGAAAATATAAATCGACGAACGACTTCCTCTGCACTTTCTGCACGACAATACCATTTAATAATATACATTTTTTGTTCGACACTGTACACCATTTTTTTTGTAATATTCCGTCTACTTCTTACCAAAGGTTTGAGTGGAATAATAATAAAAATAAAACTAAACAAATAGCAAAGCTCTTTAGGTATTCGGTCGGTTCACAAAAAATGCAACGGGGCAGGTGCGCTCCCACAGTCAACCAATTACGAGAGTCCGAGTCGCAGCCTCGATGATATATGTCATGTCCGACCCCTTCCACCCGAAGTTGATAGGGAAGATGCGTGTAATTGACTTAGTCTAAGCGAAAGAATTACCTGGCCAGACCGGTATATTTTGCAATATAGGCAAAAAAACTGGATATCATGTCGCTATAGCGAGCACCATTGATTGTTTGATTGATTGATCCTCAACGCTGAAGAACATTAAAAGAACTCTCATCGCTCTGCGTGGTGAGTAGGCTTCAATTCTTGACTCAATTGAACTTTGTAAGTGTGAAGATGCAACTCTTTCGTGAGCATACCCTGTAGAGAGCTTCTCAAAATGTCTAATTCTTGACCACGGTGCCGAATTGATGTTCCGAAGTGTCAGCAACACTCTCACGAACTGCTTCGATGTTTTGTACCTATTGAACGAGTTGTTGAAAGACGACCAGAGTCACTCACTAACTGATCCAGTCTGCCTGAATTTTCATTTATCTCTTCACAGTTGATGAAGTTAAATCACTATCCGATCATATTTTGTACGAAAATTGGGAACTGTAGCTGCCATCATTTTTTAAATACTGATCAACAATGAAGACGCATTCAAAATTCAAAACTTGCGTGAATTTTGGGATAGACTATATAAGGTTCACCCCAACGTAAAGTCAATGTAGTCTAAGAATAGAATATATTTTCGTTTATTCAAATCAGGTTGTATATCCCTTAAGATACCACATGAGCATAGGTGTATTCCAGCAGTGCATAAAAATAAATAAAAACAAATAATATAGGAATACGTTGGAAACCTTACCTGTACTTGTATCGTTGTGCTTTCGAACGCATTGTAAAGCATGGGCAAGACCTCGGTTCGAATATCATCCCTTGGGGTTTTTTCCAGTATTATATGCAAATTTTCCAAAAGAGTTACGGTGGCTTGAACAGTTTTCGGAGCGGAAAACACACTCCTGAAAAAATACACGAACATATAAATTATTAACACATGAAAATGCTTTCCTATAATACAGCTTAAAATTCAGGTTACCAATATAGGGCGACTCCTTTTTTAACGTAAAGGGGAAGAAATATTTCACTTTTCAACTGACAATCGGAAAAAATATCCGATTATTTATTTTATTACAAACTTAAAAAGACAGTGATAACGACAACGTCAATGTTACAAATATACAGTTACGCTACTAAAATTGATTTTAAATAACTATAATATACAGGGTGTTCCACCTAAAAGGGATTCTTCTGTAACTCTGCAACTGTAAAATTTGAGGGTCGCTTTCGCTGTACAGCAAAAATAAAATGCTCTCTCAACGGTAAAAATAAAGTATTTTTATTGAAAACTAAGCGTCTGGAAAAAGACGTGTTATCGGTACGAATGTTTGTTAGAGAGTCGGTCCTCGTGGTGTGGAGTCGTTTGCAGAAGTACCTGGTCCTTGGCGCCAATCTGCCGGGGTCGTCTTCCGGGAATCCTGGTAGGTCCGGGCGGCGCCTGCGTCAGGATGGCGCTATTGACGTTGTACTTAAAAATGGGTCACTTGCAACATGTGTACCCATAAATTTATAAAAAAATGGTTTTATTAAAAGTCTGGAATCATGTGGGCCATGAAGAAAATATTTTTAGCTTTACAGGTGTTCCATTTCGCGTGGGCGCTACATAACTTTGCTATTTTAAATGGAATAATGCATTTTTTAATTCCTTGGTTAAAATTAGGTAGAGATTATTAAATGTACATGGTGTTTAAAACTATATATTCAGTTATTTTTGAAACGATTTCTGCTCTCTAAATGAAGCTAGACAGCATCTAAACCCTAATAGTTAGAAACCTGCAGTTTCCGCAGTTCATTTTGGCATAAATTACTCTATCTCGTCATCTGTGAGCAAAACGTGTACCTTATTCAGACTCGAAAATATTGAGACCTACATTTAATAATAATCTTAAGTTGAAAAACTATTTTTTCAAATGGAATAACCCATATTAATTGTCATGGGTAAATGCAAAATTGAATGCCCTCTCGACTGGTATAAGATTGTCCATACTTATCTTTAACAGTTTTCAAGAAAAATCAGGTTCTTTTCTAAAGTCCGAAAAAGTAACTATGTAACAGCATCAACAAGGCCTTGCAAAACTACTGTTCTCTCACATTTTATCAGGCCTGGGACTGACAGTGTCAATATTTACTGGCATGTTTAAAAAGTGGTTTGATAAACAGAAGTACACAACTAACAACAACTAAAACAAAACGCAAACCGAAACAAACTGAAACTCGGAACACAACAAGGAGAAGAATACTTAGACCGGTGATTTACATCAATTGCTCGAAGTGTCCTCCATTTTGATTAATACACAAACGAATTCGGTTTTTAAAAGACTATTCAATATTGGTCAGCATGTCTGGCGTAATTTCTTAAAACGCTACTGTAATGCTCTGCCACATATCTTCCGCGGTAATTGGTGGTGTAACGTAAACTTTGATTTTTATAAATCCCCATAAAAATAAGTCGTAACTTGTCACAGTTGGACACCTTGAAGGCCAACTCATTGTTTCCCCGCGCCCAATCTATCTGTTGGGAAAAGCTTCGTGTAAAAACTGACGAACCGCAGCAGTATTGTTAGGTGGAGCACCATCATGTTGCATCCACATTCTTCGAAGTGTAGCTAAAGGAATGTCGCCTAACAAATCTTCTAGAGTGTTTGTTAAAAAGTTTAAATAAACTACTCCAGTTAGATGCTGGTCAAAAAAGAATGGTCCAATGACATGGGTTCCCAAAATTGCTCTCGACGCGTTCAAAGAACATCGTTGGCTATGAGTTGTCCGGAATTGGTGAGGATTTACTGTGTCATAATCATGGCAATTATGACTATTAACGAAACCATTTTTATGAAAAGTAGCCTCATCGGAGAATATGACCTGTTTAAAAAAAATCATGTCCCCACTGACAAAACTCCGCTGAAAGTCTACTTTTAGTAACTCTTGGTGTAAATGGATGCGACAAGGATGTGCTATGCTGTGCTTTTGTAAAATCCTGTGTATCGACGTTGTACTAATACAATTGCGAGGCCTTCTTGATGCTATTACATAGCTACTTTTTCGGGCTTTAGAAAAGAACCTTCTTTTCCTGGAAAACTGTTAGAGATAAGTTTGGACAACCTTTAGATGCTATCCAGCCTCATTTGGAGGACTGAAATCGTGATCTTATTAAAAAACAACTGATTATCTCGAAAACGGTAACTTTTAAACACGATGTATATTTAATAAACTCTACCTAATATTAACCAAGGAATTCAAAAACGTAATAATATACAGGGTGTTCCATTTAAAATAACAAAGTTACGTAGCGCCCACGCGAAATGGAACACCCTGTAAAGCTCAAAATATTTTCTTTACATGGCCCACATGATTCCAGACAACTTTTATGAAGACCATTTTTTTATAAATTTTACGGTTACAGAGTTACAGAAGAATTCCTCTTAGGTTGAACACCCTGTATAAATGACTTTAAATTTATTGATAACAGACACATAGTACTTTTCCTAAGATTTTTGACACACAAAATCCGAATCTGGTCTCAGAATCATTACGTCAGGTTGACGAATGGTTTTATGGAACTAAAAATTTAAAAAAATCTATAAAAAGTCCATAGGTACCTTTATACGCTCTATAAATTGTAAATTACCACCAAACTTGACTTATTAAATAAAGTATAAAGTTTGAATATTAATAAAATGCCATAGAAAACATTTGCACAGTCTCAAAGCTAAATCGAACGGAATCGCATTACCTATTATTTTCTGTACCAAAGAGGAAATATAATAATGAAATCTTCTAGTTCGTACCTACTTCACGTTCCCGGATCGTATAAAGTTATGCCCTACAGGGCACTAATGCTTTCCGTTTCGTTTTATACGATCAGCTTTATTGTACTACAATGTATAAAAAAATCATTTTGACTGTTATTGTTGGAAATACAAGGGTGCCTTTCACTGAAAAAGCTCCACCCGATTGTGATATCAATTTTATATTATGTTGAGCATTTCTTTCGTGTTTAGGTACATTTCAGCGCTGTGAAAGGAAAGTTTTTCAGTTAAATCGTTTACCCGATTTTTTTTTGGGAGTTTTACTAGGTTCTATTTTTTATGGAACAGATGCATTACTTAAATTGAAATTATACATATACTGTATTTCCCATGAATACGCGAAAGTCTAGTGTAGGTGAAAAAATACACACTAAAAATATTTTAGTTATACAGGGCGTTCCACTTTTACTAGCCATATGTCAACTGAATTTTTTTTAAGTGTAAGCATATATTTCTATATTCATTAGTATATGTAGATTTTACAAGAATAATAAAGGACACTTTTTGTATAACATTCACAGTTTTCCAGATATTTAGCTTTCAAAATTACTTTCATCAAAATCTCCTCCTACCCTGCCAGAAATTCTTTAGTTTTGCCAGCAGCTATCGAAATTTTTTTTTGGATAAATATTGAACGATAGTGGTTCTTTCAAACTCGGTTCTAAAAGTTGGCCAGGCTTCTACAGGGCCGCTATAAAGTTATGTCAAATATGTCAACAGAAAATTGCAAAACCCTGTATATTTTTATACCATGGAATGCAGAATTAGATCCTCTATTAGTCTGTTACATCTTTCGCTATACTTAAAGTAAATAATTTTTTCGTAAAAAATAGTTTTTATGAAAAATTGCATTCTTTTGAGAAAGAAAAGATATCTGTTTTATCCTTGACTCTTTGGATAGGATGGTATTCATCAATATATGGTCTAAAAGTAGATCACTTCTTTGTATAGTTGGTTAGTTTCAAGCGAAACTATACAGGGTGATCCATTAACGGTACCGAGCGGATGTTTATAGGAAATTAGACTTGCTACGATTATGGGGTAACAAATCTAATAACAAATACGGCCATCTTCTAAATGCCTTAATCGATTTCAAGAAACGACGGCTTATTTTAAAGAACTATTAATAAAATTTATATTTATGATATGGAGATAAAAATATTATTTTCCTGTTCAACTGTAGATGACGTTAATTAGAAAAGTTTTGTAATCTTTGTAATCTTCGTTTACATTTTTTAGATACACTGTTAATCCCTTCACAAGTTTTGTTTGAACTTTTTTTTTTGTTATTACCATAGCAACGTCAGTATGAAGGAAGATATTGTCATAACTTCTAAATGCCTTAATCGATTTCAATAAACGATGGCTCATTTTAAAGAACTATTAATAACATTTATTTTTATGACATAGGAAAAAATATATTATTTTCCTGCGCAACGGTAGACGACGCTAATGAGAAAAGTTTTGTAATTGTCTCCGTTTACTAAGAAAATTAAATGCAACGATATAGGTTTTTTTCATGGCTTGATAGACCATTTATTAACGAAAACAAATACACAAACGGGAAAAAAAAAAACTTGCTATATTTTGAAATGTTTTTTATAACTCCAATGTTTCACTTTTTTATTAATCCCAAATATCTGAGTATTTATAAAGATTATTGTTTTCACACTGAAGCAGGCTATGTCCTATGAAAATAGACAAATGAAAAATTATGCCTAACGATACGTGGCAGCTCTTGCTTCGTGCAAAATTAGTGTCATTAGTTTGAGAAAAGTACTTGTGAACAAGAAAAATGCCTTTTACGAATGTGGCAGCGTATGATATGTTGCCAGTTTATGTTTGGAAAATGCCATTATAGTTTCAAGAAAATACACTTTGCGTTACCCTCGTAGCCACTCCAGAGAAATATTTCAGCGTTTAGCCAGACGCCACTACATTCTGTAAGAAGACATCGCTGTGCAAGAATGGAAGATAACATTATTAATGAATTGGCTTGTGTCCATGTAAAATTCCCAAATAAATGTTAGGGAATTAGTAAAAGATCTAAGAATTTCATATGGTTTCATCTGACCAGCGAATAAAATCATCGGTAT